GTTAACTATCAAGTTGGGCTGGGACTAGTGGCAGGTGCACACAGGATTCTGCTCCTGCTGGCTCATCATCTCAAGGAGATTAGCTTTGGCTAGTTAACATCTCCCCACACAACGGTCCCAGGCAAATTCCAGAGAGGTGTGTTTCCACTGAGCCAAACTTGCATAAATTTACACATTACACTCTACAAAAGACTTGGGCACGCTGACACAAATTCACAGCTCTTTATTTCATATTTTTGTATGAGAATTCAGGTGAAAGGATGAACGTTTGAGAACATGATGAGCCGGACCAAGATGTAGAATCATCATACCATGGTCCTCTACGCTACCCGGGCACGGGCCAGAAATTTGCCCTGAGGTTCTTAGCAGCCAAAGAAGGAAGGGAAATATGATCTCGTATAGGATTGGTGTTTTTCATTAAATCAAAACAAACCAATTGCTAAGAAGCACTCAGCTTCTGGTCTTGAAACCTGCTAGAAAATTCTCACATATGTGCTAATAAAGAGAATGTGATGGGCCGGCCCTGTGGCTTAGCAGTTAAGTGTGCGCGCTCCGCTATTGGTGGCCCTGGTTCGGATCCCGGGCGCGCACTGACGCAGCGCTTCTCCGGCCATGCTGAGGCCGCGTCCCACATACAGCAACTAGAAGGATGTGAAACTACGACATACAACTATCTACTGGGGCTTTGGGGGAACAAAAATAAAGGAGGAGGATTGGCAATAGATGTTAGCTCAGAGCCGGTCTTCCTGAGCAAAAAGAGGAGGATTAGCACGGATGTTAGCTCAGGGCTGATCTTCCTCACACACATAAAAAAAATAATCAAAAAAAATAAAAAAAACTAAATATTAATTAAAAAAAAAAGAGAGAATGTGATAAGAACATTTTCTACTTATAATGTTCCAATGCAGACTAACAGCATGAAACTATAATGCAATTTAGGAGAATTAAGTCTCTGAAGAAGCAAAAACCCTGCAGACCATGTGAGCAGTTCTTTGGTGGTTTTGCATCATCTGAGGGTAAAATTTAAAACGTAGAACACTGAGTGTACTAGACGACCTTCAGGCAGTCTTTCATAAAACAAGCCCAAATGAGGGAGTTGAGTGTTGAGAACCCTCAGCTGAACAATATTCATTCCACCAACGCCTATCAAGAACCCATTTGCTCACCATTGGGCCTTGTGCCTAGAGCTAGGGATAGATGGAAGAATAGATACATCCCCTGCTCTCAAAATACTTACAATCTGTTCCAGGACACAAATTTACGGACAGATGACTGCAAATGCAACATGTGTGCCATAAGGAAGATAGGGAAAGCGGAAAATAGACCTCTTCTTTGGCTGAGATGCTGCTGAGTCATGATTTTGGGTGCAATTGATGTGGGGGGGGGATCTTCTAACATTACATTTCTCTTTGAGTGTGAATGTTAACCTGTGTAGAAAGAGCGAGGCTCCTTAGTTTGAATTTGCTTTTCTTTCCTCTTTTTCTATTGCCCTATTTTGTAAGAGCAGAAGATAGAATGAGAAGTATGGAGCTAGTTACTTCATTTTGAGCAATTACAGTCAAGAAAAATTAATTGAAATGAGCATAAGATTTCTGGAGAAAAACAATGGCCCAGTCTTTTCAATGTTTTGCAATAACATTTTGGTCTGTTTTTGTTGGCAGGCCAGTACCGGACTATTCATGAGCCTCTTCTCGATTGCGTAAGTCAGCTGCTCTCCTTACCTATTTGTCGGTCTTTGATATTTACAAAGTAAGTGGCTTTCTTCAAGGTACTTGGTGAACTAAAAAAAAAAAAGAAAACCTTTTCCAAATGGCATAATTTCCTGGCAGAGAAAACTGCATTTCAATTCTTGAGTATAAAACTGCATTCCAATTCCTCAGCTATAAAACGGAGATAAAAATTAACTCACATGGCCATTGTCTAGATTGAATAAGGTGAAAATACCAACATGTGGTGCTGGCAAGTGTGTGATGAAAAAAGCACTTCCTAACACTCGTGGTGAAATTTTAATTTGGAACAAACTTTCTGGAAATCCATCTCATAATATTAACTAAGCAATATAAAAATGTCCATTTTCTTTGGCCCGATAATACTATGGTTGGGAATTTAAACTAAGGAACTAATCTAAAATTTTGGATTATACACCCATTTGTATTTTATAACAATATATTTTAAATGGCAACACACTGGAATCATGCTAAATATTCAATGATAGAAAAATAGTTGAATATATTATGATATATTCTTATTATGAAGCCATTAATAATATTTACAAAGAATTTTAATGACTAAAGGAAATTTAAAATTTATGACATAAGCTCAAATATCTAATATTGTAAATAATTTTATTGTTAAATTACATATATATAATTTAAAGCTTTAACTAACATATCTCTAGATGATAGATGGATTAGCCATAGATAGATGATAGATAGATAGATACATAGATAGATAGATAGATAGATAGATGATAGATAATAGATGGATGATGATGGATGGATAGATAGATGATAGATAGATAGATAGATAGATAGATAGATAGATAGATAGATAGATAGAATCTGCCTGTAAAATCATTAGTTCTTTACTGTTTGAAACACTTCTCTAAGAATCAAATTAAAGTTATGGATCCTCACCCCAGGATACACGCACACACAATCAATCACAAAATATTTTATAAATTAGGAAGTTTATGGGTAGAGAATACTGGGCTTTTACTTAAGAACCCCTGAGATTGATAGTAGATAGATAACACATAGGCTAAGAGAGAAACAGATGTAACTCATTGTATTTGAAACAAAACTCTGTCTCTTTCTCTTTCTAGAAAGAAATAAACCAAATATTTATCTCCAGTCCTGGGGGCAAGATTCTCAGGATCTGGTGTGGATTCTCTTCTGAGTTGGGGTGGTGGCTGCTGTTCCTCTTGGGCCCCCTGTGTGCCCCGCCCCTAGGAAGTCTAGCAAGGCGACTGGATGGAAGATGGGCTCTGTCCCATCCCCAGTTCTTCCAGCAGGCCCAAGACTTTCCCAGAGAGGCTGCGCTGGGGGGAGTCTTGGTGGTTGCCATAACAGTATATAAATGAGGGCCTTACAATAAATGTCCATCTGTCAAATCCCCAAGGAGTCCCAAGCCCCTGCTCCAGCTCAAACTCACTTCTGTGTGTAGTTCTGGAGGAGAATAGCCTGATCACATTCCCCTCTTTGCCAGGCAGATTGTGAAACCCCCTGGATTTCACTTTCCAGCAGGTTTGCTGTGCCCTAGGCACTTGGTTCTGCTAATACTCGGCATCATCAGTTAGAGGGAGGAGATCTAACATGCCCTGAGCACCTGTCATGGGCAGATGCCTAAGTAGAACCCTTATATACATTTTGCTCAATTAATCTCTGACTACAACCAAATAAGGTAGGTTTAGACATCTCCAATTTACAGATGGAGCATCTGAGTCAGGGAGGTTAAGTAACCTCCCCAAGGTCATAAAGTGGACCCACAATTTAGATCTAGGATGGGTGACTCCATCCTCGATCCACACTGCCTCCAAGAAGGCCAATCTCACCTGCTTTCCCAACTAAGAACTCACAGTCCGAGCCCTGCTTACCTCCTGAGACAGATCAAGGAGGCAGGGCTTCATGGCTCTAATGCCCAGTTGCTGGGGGCACAGCATCAATACAACCATGCAAATGGCCCTACTCCAACTTTGTGTTCAGTGACTTAACTTTTTTCCTTTGGGTCCCCAACCTCTCCCCTTCTACCCTGTTCCTGCTCCTGGGTCACTGTGTTGGTCCCTGGCCCCTTGTACCTGAACTCCTTGAATTTGATAAAGTTGCCCTTCATAACTTGCTGATTCCTCAGTTCGTGTAAGACTCAAGCCTTGCTTTCCAGGGGGAGCTTTTGGGTGGGAATCAACGGCTATCACATTGAAAGTCAAAACCATTGTCTTCAGGAGGCCCCCCTCCTTCTTCATGCTGTCCCATGGAGAACACAGACTTACTAAATTGCATTCTGTACCCTTGCTTCAAATGAGCAGAGTTGCTTTGAGCCAAAGTGGAGCCCAAATGGCCTTCCAGATAGGGGCTGGTGAGTCCCCCTGAGCTATTGCTTACCCAGAAATTGGACTTGTCATGTGACTAGTCTTCACCTTTACCAAACCATTTTGATGGAGTGATGATAGAAAAAGTCATACACTTAGAGGCTTGGGGCTAGTTAGCAACTTGCCCAAATACATCAGAGAACTAGAATAATGCAGAGCTAGAATTTAAACTCAAGCCTGTCTAATTCCAGGTCCCTCCACTATAATCAAATCACGTCATAGACTTTTCCGCTTATACAATGAAATGAAGTACACAAAGCACCTAGCATATATGAATACTTAACAAATGTCTGCGGGACTTGAAGAGGAGGAGAGGAACTCATGATTGGCGGCCTTCCTTTATCTCTGACTTTCTTTAATAGTCATTGTTATTACAGGAGCAGTCAGTTGGGGAATGTGCATGAAAATCTCTTGTAACTGGACCTGTTATTCATAGCCATGGCCATTTGAAAACTAGCAGAAACTTTAAGACGTTAAAGATTTTCCCAGTATGTATTTTTCACAGCCTTCTCCAATTGTCAGCCCCTCCCAGCCCGACAGTGAAGCGACCCGTATCCCATGGTTGGCGTTCAAACGAGACAGTACCAGATGGAGAATGAGTCAGCATTTCAGGGCAACCTCCACCTTTCATCTGGAGATGTTTCTGTCTCCTCCCTTTGAGCTCCTGGCATCACATGACACTCTGCTTAGATCTTTCAAAATGTCATCACTTATTAACTAAATTACATGGTGGCACTTGGATTCTCTCTTTGTCCTAAAAGAAGACAAAAACCATTTCTATAAACCAGGGAAGAGGTGAGCATTTTGAGACCCAGGAAGGAAAAAGGATCTCTTGGTAGCTCTGTATGGTGGATGAGGAACCTTTCTGTATGAGAGATCATCAAGAGCAGGGTCCCTGCTTAAACATAGCATGATGCATGGGTGCAGATTCCAGAATTTCCGTGATGACAATTACATCTATTGTGGACTCGTACCCAGCTCTGCCATTCCCAGTTTTCAGAGCTGAAGCTTATTACTAATATATAGAAATACAACTTAAATTCTTATATTTCTCATGTATCCCAACACCTTGCTGAATCGTTTATTCTAATAATTTTTTAGTGGTTCCTTGGGATTTTCTATATACAAGATCATATCATCTGCAAATAGATCCCTTTTCTGCTTTTCAGAGCTCATGCAATTATGTTGGGTCCAGGATAATCTCCCTATTTTAAAGACAGCTAATTAGTAATGTTAATTACATCTGCAATATCCCTTCACAGCAGCACTTAGATTATTATTTAATTCAATAACCAAGGATGGGAGTATTTGGGGATATCTTTAGAATTCTGTCTACCACAAGAATTTAACTGCCCCAGACCCCAGACTCTTAAATCTTCAACCCCCAGCTAAGAGAATCCATATCACCCCCTAGCTAGCACTGTAGCCTGTAATCTTTATCATCATTATACCTTCCCTTGACTCACTCAAATGCTGCCTCCTGCTTAGGAAAGGAACTTTGCTGAAGTCTTGGATGGAGCAAAAGGCCACGGGGATGATGACGACTATGAAGACCCTGAGAGTCATGTGGCAGAGGCATGGCAATCGATGAAAATTTTACCAGCCAGACCTATAAATGAATCTGAATATGCAGGTAACATTTGGGGCCTAAAAACTGAAAATGCATGTCCACACCACAATATTGCATAGTAATTAAAGCTGCAGATTCTGAATTAAATAACTCTAGGTTAAAATCCTGCCTCCATGACTTACTAGCTGTGCGACTTTGAGCAAGTCTCTAAAAATCATTTTCTCTATCTCAAAATAGGGTTCATAGTAACAGAACTTACCCCAGAGAGTTCTTTTGAAGATTACACATATGATGCATGCTGAGTTCTCACCAGAGCACTTGGCACAGAGTCAGAGCTCTAGAACTATTGGTTGTTATTATCACGATGTTCTTCCTGAGTCCTAGGGACAACTGATGAGTGTGGCAGAGGGTGGACAGGCAGGAAGGTGGTCAACATGGGAAACATTCGGACAGAGGTCTCATAGTGGGGCCTAGAGTGAAAGGAAGACTTTCTAACTTGGTTGATTCATTTTGCAGGTGGCCAGCAGATGAGTAGCACTAGGCATGGAAGCAAATTCTAACTTGTTAAGAGTCAGGGAGACCTAATTTCACAGCCACTTTTGCTTCTTTCTAACTGGGGCACATTGGGCAGCAATTCTCTGAACCTTAGATGTGGCACACTGCTATAAGGGAAAACAGGAAGCTGTGTGATTTCTGAGGGCCTGACCCAGCGAAATGAATCTGTAGAAGGTCCTCTGAGAGAATCACCTTGGAAATAATGATGATATTCCTTTGTTCATTCACTCAACTAGCATTTTCTGAGTATCTACTCCATGCCAGTTCCCATGTTAGTATTGATCAAGTGACAGAAAGATGAACAACGCATAATCCATGTTCTCAGGAAGGTTACAATCTAGTGGCAGAAACAGACAGATCAACAGATAAATGTGATAGAACAGGTTAAGTGTGTAATACAGAAAGGAGGGCCAGGGGTGGGGTGTGGGTGGATGGGATATGGGAAGATTTTCAAAGGCCGTGACAAGGCCCAAGCCTTGAAGCATGTGTAGAATTTCCCAGGTGGTTGAGGAAATGAAGGATATTCAAGTCCAGACTTGGGCATTTTTGTGTAGGGACCAAGAGGAGTAATTTCTCCTCTTTGAGCCTCAGGCTCCTCATCTGTTAAGTGGAAGTAGAATTGCTTGCCTCATACCTACATTGTGACGATTCAATGAGTTTTTAGATGTGCAAATATTTTGTAAATAGTAATATGCTGAGTCCACATAAGGTATGACTTTAAATTTTTCTCTTTTCATAGATACACGCTATTTCAAGGGTGCGACGGACACTCCTCTTTCCTTAGATGCCAAGACATCTATCTCCCTGGAGGGGCAAACCTGGAATATGCGGATGAGGCTGGAAGAAGTGAGTAAAGGCTTGACCATGTGAACCAAACGCGTGTAGTGTAGGGCACTTCCTAGCAGCCAGGAGCTTCCCCATCTGGCATTCCCAAGGCATCTAGTTAGGTAAAGCCCAAGGAGGTGCAGGGAGTGGTTCTATGACTGGTGGGATCACAGTCCTGTGGAATAAGCACCTAGAAGGAAGGAGAACTAACGTTTGATGAAGATTTTCTGTAAACCAGGTATCAGGCTAACGACTTTCACATGCATCTCCTCTGATGTTCATCCCATTCTCCGGAAGCAAAATTTGAACTCAAATCTTTTGGATAATAATATATCATTTTGCCCATATTCTAGGCCCAACGTTGCCAACAGCTAACTGGATGGTGTTGAGTAAGTCACACAAGCCCTCTGAGCCTCTTTGTAACCTCAGCTACAAAACAGGAATAAAAATCCCTACCATGCTGACTTCAAAAGGCTGTTTGGAGACCATGAAAGATAACCTTATGAAAATATCTTGTAAATGCAAATGCTCTAAACTCACATATAGAATTTTATTTTTAATCACACTTTGCTAATGTTTCATTTTATTAATGCAGAAATGCATAAAATACAAATTAATCACCCCTGGGGTTGCAGGGTTTTCGGTCATAGTGTCAATATTTTCTATGCAGATGTATTTCATCCAAAGGAGTCTTTGTTGTATAGTATATACCTGGTTTTCTTTTCTTTTCACTTTAAGTTCTGGCTATAAAACAATTTCCCATGTGATAAACAAACTTTAATAAGCATAGTCTTTATATCATACCCCATTATGGGATTTTTAATTATTTTACTTAGCCATTGAGTTGGTAAACAGTGTGAAATTTCTTTCCTGAAAGATCATTTCAATTTACCCATCCCGAAGCCCTATATGGGAATGTCCACCTCATAGAACTCTCACCAAAACTGGCTATTACTTTATTAATCATATTTTTAAAAAAGATTTCACTGTTCTTTTTTTTTTAATTTGTACCACATTTATTAGTGAATGTGAACATGCTTTTGAATATTTATAACACATTCTTCCTCTTGCATTATCTGTTACATTGTTTATCTATTTAACTTGATAAATTGAGGGACTCTGCTAATATTGAAAAGAGAAGGAAACTACAAATTTTACCAAGTGATGTCATTCACACAGACCACATCCAATAGAGATTGGGAGAGCAAGATGAGGATGAAATATTGAACACTTTCTCTTTACACAGGCACCAAGCTGAACACTTCAATCATTCACTCAACAAATTCAGTCAAGAAATATGTGTTGAGTGCCTGCCACGGACCAGACACAATTATGGTCTCTGGTATGCATCGGCAAACAACCAAGGCTCCGCTCTCATGAAACTTATATACTAGCGGGAGGAGGTCGGTAATAAATAAATAAATAATAAATAGATAATAGATATGTGCTTTGAAAAATTAAAATTAAAGCAGGGTAAGGGCATTCAAGGAAGGTCTTTCTGAGTAGAGATGAGAAGGAATAAATGACATTTAATCATTAAAACAACATTGCAAGATGAGCATTATAATCCCCATTTTAATAGCTCCAAGTTTGTGAGCTCTGTCTCTTTGGGCCAGTTACTTACTCTCTCTGAGCCTTTATTGTCTTAGCTATAAAATCTCATAGCGGTTATGATAACACATACAGAGCAGGGGGCCTGGCACAAAGTGATCAGTCAATAGATGACATCTCCTAGAGGACAGGGACCTTTTTAGCCCCAGCACAAAGCACAGTGTCTTTCTGTAAGAGGTTCTCAATAGATATTAGTTAAATGGATGAAAATGACCAAACAAATAAACCCTCAGTCATTTGAACTGAATCTTGAAACATAAATAGCTGTTTAATAGGAAAAGAGGCCCAGTCTTTGCCCAGTTTGACTTCTGTTCAATGGAACCCTTTTCCAGTCTATCCTTCAAAGTTCTCATGTGAATGTTTGCTACTGTCACTGAGATCTGCAACTGGGGCCGCCCCACGGGGGCTGTTTGACAGGGACGAGGACATTTCAGGGCACTCATCACTGGAACATAGAGCATATGCAGGGAACTTTAGTTTTCTGTAGGAATTTTAGCATGATTGGACCAGTGGCTGAAGACACAAGTTCTGCTCTGGTTTTAAAGGAGTAGAGAATTCTGACCTGAAAAGTGAAGCTTTCCTTTCCTGAAAAATCACTGATAATCCCCCTTTACATGGAAGTAAGCCTTCATGAGAAGAGTTTCTTTCTCATAATTCTCATTTGATTTTTTAAAACAACTCTGACAGAATTTAAGCCTCCATTCTTGTTCCTTACATTCTCTTCATATTATTTTTGTAGCTCCTGCTACAAAATAAATTTCTTCCTTTAGCTAGATCACTTTGCAAGTGGAACTATAATCCAACCTGTGAAGTTAAGTGAAATCATGAGAGAAAAAGGATATACGAGGCGTGCCACAATTTTGGCCTGGAGGGAAGTTGTTTGAAAAATTAAATAAGAGCTTGGCCTTGATTCAGACAAAGAGGCAGTTTTGTTTTTATAATCAGTGTTTGAATAATACAGTTTTTATGGTAAGCTGATTATATTTTTTATTATGACCTCAGTCTCAGGAGTTAACTCTTATTAGTTATTATTTATGTTGAAATTAAACTATCTGTGAAATGGAGCTTCAATAACCCTTATAGAGGCCAGTTCTTATCAGACTCCTTAGGTTGGTTACAACCGTCTTGAACCACTAAACCACAGCCCATATGTCCATTTATTGAGCACTCACTGTATATTAAGCACTGTGCTTAACAATGGGGATAAAAAATGAGCCAGTGTCTACAGTCTAAAGAAGGAGGCAGTGGCCCAAATTGGCAATGTGGATATAATTTGAAGTGCTGAGATAGAGGTGAGCACCGGGTTAAAGAGCACCACGCTGCGTCAGTTGGCCCAGCCAGAGGCTTTCAAGAAGCCTTCTGGAGGAAGCAATGCAAAGCAGTGTGACACCAATAATACATTGCACTGTAATCAGTGGTTCTCATCAGGACCATTTTGCCCCCTAGCGGACATTTGGAAATGTCTGGAGACATTTTTGGTTGTCAGGACTGGAGGAGTGCTACTGACATGTAGTGGGCGGAGGACAGGGATGCTGCCAAGCATCCTATAGTGCACAGGGCAGCCCCCAACAGCAAAGAATCATCGGGCCCCAACTCTCAATGGTGCTGAGGTTGAGAAACCTGTGTTATAGTTAAACTTGTGTTATAATATGTTGTAAACTCAGACCTGTGTGCATGTCCAAGTCCTCCTTTAGAATCCAAGCTCTTACCCTTCTTTGTTCCCTCGTAATCTAGCATCAATGCAGGTATACAATAGGCATTAATAAATATTTATTTGATAGAAAATAGGAGTAGTCCTGGGAGATAGGAAGGAAGTATTCCTGGTCCCAGGATTCTGTACTAATATCATCAGAGTGCACCTACCACTGGGGGAGATGTAGTACAAAGAAACTCTCTCATGCAAAAGATCCAGTTGGATCCAAATGGATCCAGTGTAATTTGGCCACCAAAGGGAAAAAGAGCAGGAATACTAAGGAAGCCCCTTCTCTAAGACCCTAAACATATTAGGTCCCACCTAAGACAGAGACAACAGAGAACCCCACCTGCTCCCATGACCAGGCTGGCAATGGGAGGTGGGCAAGAGCATTGAGAGAGACCCTCTTTGTGGGGCAGACACAGAGGGAAGGCCGAAAACTGAGAGTGCAACAAGAACATTGAAAAAACTCTCCAGCACCCCAGCCTCCACAGGGTAACCCTAGAGGAATTGGAAGCTGATGGAACAATGAAGGAAGTCATAGCAACAACAAAATCCGAACCACACTCAACTCTTGACCAGACTGACCAGCAGAAGAGCCATGCCCTTTCCAGGCAGAAATACTGTGGCTCAATGTTCCACAGAGAAAAAGAGGTGGACAGTCAACATCAGAAGCTAAGAGATAACAGGAGGCTCGATGACTCTCCCTCTCATCCACCCTGGCCACTTCAACTTGGAGCCGATAAAGAGTAACACTAAGACCCTGTGTTAGTCAGGGCTCTCTAGAAACATAGGAGATGATAAATAGATAGAGACATAGAGACATAGACATATAAATAAAATAGTGATTGTGGAGGCTCAGCCCCACAATTTATCATTTGAAAGCTAGAGATCCAGTAGAATAAGTTCCAGTCTGAGTCCAAAGGCCTGAGAACCAAGGGAGCCAATGAGATAAATCTCAGTGGAGGGCAGAAGACCAATGTCCCAGCTCAAGCAGTCAGGCAGAGAGATCGAATTCTCCTTTCCTCTGCCTTTTCATTCTATTCAGGCCCTCAATGCATTGGATGACGCCCACCCACATTGGGAGGGCAATCTGCCTTACTCAGTCTACTGATTCAAATGCTAATGTCATCTGGAAACACCTTCACAGACACATCCAGAATTAATGTTTAACAAAATATGCAGGCACCCTGTGGCCCTGTCAAGTTGACACATAAATTAACCATCATAGACTCCAATATTGACTCAGGCTTGAAGGCTTTCAAAGGCATTGGGCATCTTTGCGATGTCTTCATCATCTTCTTCACCCTCGTGTCTATCAATTATATAGCCCTTGATAGTTCATCGATGCCTTTAATAATATTAATAATGACAGCTAACAATTATTAAACTTGATTGGTGCCACACCCTGTTCTAGGCACATTACACTGTGTGTCTCATGTCCCCCCACCCTTATGAGGTATCAGTACTTTTGTTACCTCCATTTCACAGGTGAGGAAACTGAGGCTCAGAAGGTTGAGTGACTTGCCACATTTTCATACAACACGTGATGGAGGTGAAATCCCAACACAGGCATCCACCTGAGGCCACACACTGATCTGCCTGCTTGATCACTTGCATGTACTTAATCATGTATATTGATCTTCATGATAACTCAACGACGTGAATTGACTAAGTATTTTCTCTATTAAAAAGATAAAAAATCTAAGGCTTTTGATATGGTAAACACCTTTCCAAAGTTTTACAGCAATAAGAGACAGAATTGGATCTCAAACCCAAGTGTTTTATGCCAAATACCACCTGAGGCCACTATACTAGTCACTGGCACAGCAGTACACATATTTACACATATTGACTGACAACCAATCATTGACATGATGATGACAGAAATCACCATCTCTAAGAATGATGATAGGAACTCATGCCTTTATCCTTGGGAATCTAACCATACAGAGTGGCAGGACATTATATGGTATCATAGTCACAATTGAGAGATAATGGTGCCACATTGTCTTCTACAGGTGGACAAACCCACCTACAAGGACATCAGAAGCCAACATGTTAAAGGTAAAGTCAAGTCAAAAGTTTGAAATATAAGTATATTTATTTGCTTTCAAGATCCTCTTGAATTTTTGTTTGTGGCTATGGATTTTCTTAATCAAAGTGATCTATTAAATTATCCTTCATGAAATAACTAATTTTGAAAAGGCTCCCACACATCTTATGCCTTTTTATCACCTTACCTTATTGATGAAGAAATTTATTGTGAAAACTCATGTTCCCTGTTGTGCAATTTCAGAAAAGAATTGTTTTGAAACATAGATTGCATTAAATATATAGCTAAGTTATTTCTCTAAGCATACTCCCAGTAAAATCACAAGATAGAAATCTAACTTTAAAATGTTGATTAATTAATATGAAAACAGTTTTTAAAGCTTTAGGCAAAGCAATTCAATTTGGAGGTGAAGATACAGGTAGGAAGCTAAAAGGAAATAATCAATTTCAGTAGTGCTGGAAGCACAAATGGCAGACAGCCAAAGAAATTTAATTGGAGCGTATACATTATAGCTCCTCTCATCATTTCCCCTGTGCCCCCATCTTCTCTTATAATGTCCAATGGGAAAAGATGACAACCCCATGATTTACATTCCCCAATAATTGAAACATATCAAATTCATCTTTCATGAATCTAATGCTATATTCTATAACATAATACTAACATCACATTTTCTTTAATAGGAAAGTGTAATAGAGTCCTAACAGGAAACAGATAGCACACCCAAATTAGGATAATTTAAGGAAGTTTATTTACAAAGGAACTATTTACTAGGTGTGTGGGGTGTAAAGGAAGAACAATGGATGGTGCAGGAACTGGGGCTAACAGCAGTGGTGCTGTCACCACCTCTAGGCCCAAAGGGATGAGGTGATAGTTACGGAAAACCAAAAGGAGCACCCTACCTTGAGAGGAGCAATGACCATTGATAGAGGAACACCACCAGCCCAAGTGGTCCTCACAGCAGAGAAGCCAAGGGAATACATGACTGATCTCCCTCTCATCTCCTGCTGGGACTTCCCAACAGCCGAACCAGCCAGAAACCAGAAGGCAGGGCAGTCCATATGTGGTCAAGGCTGGTTGGTCCCCCATGGTGGAGAGTAGAGTGGAGCAGGGTGAAGAAGGTGAAGGATGGACCTAGGGGGCAAAGAGAAGATACCCATAACAGGCAGCATGTGGAAGGAGCAATGAGGGTAGCCAAAACCCAAGCTCTGCCACTCCCAGGCTGTGTGGCCTTAAGTAAGGCACCTAACCTTTCTGAGTCTTACTTTCCTCTCTGTTAAAATGTGAAGTGGGCAGGGCTTTTATGACTATTCAATTCAGTTGCATTAGCAGAGACGGGAAACAATGCTGTTCCCTAGTCCATCTCTCTTCTCCATCCTGCACAGCCTGACAGATCTTTATCTTCCTTCTACTCCTAAACCGCGCCCCCCAAAATAGGGGAGATTTCATGTTGTGCCTCTTTAGTCCTTAAAAATGGCAATACCTTCGATGTACACAGCACTTGATTCAGAGCTCTTCTCCATTAACTGATGTATTTAGTCCGTAGAAACACCAGGTGACTTATGTAGAGAAAGTATTTTCATGCCTCTTGACCAAGAAAGGGACCAGAAGCACAGAGGAATCCCAGATCACATTATATATAGACATTTTGGTCTATAACTGACCGCATATATGACAGTGGTCTCATAAGGTTAGTGCCATATAGTCTAGGTGTGTAGTTGGCAATACCATCCAGGTTTGTGTAAGTACCCTCTATGATGTGCGCTCAATGACGAAATCGCCTAATGATGCCTTTCTCAGAACGTATCCCCATCATTAAGCCATACATGATTGCATAAATGCTCTAGGTCGTAATAGAAACTTCATAGGCATTCATTGAAAACTGAGTCCTGGGGAGAAAGCAGAAAGAACTGAACTTCACAATCCCTCTCTTTTTCTTTAAATTCCAGTGTAGACTCCACCTTCACTTCTTTGATTGTAGAAATTTCTTTGACTACTGTTCTACACATCATTATGTCTGTTTGACTATTAGAACAGTTCTAATCCCAATTCCAACATGGGGGGATTCCCCCCACACCACCAAGCAATTCTCAGACACCAGGTGAGTGTCCTACAATTCAGCCCAATTCTGACACTATCTACGCAAAGATAGCATCAGATTTCACAAGTTAAGGGCTCAGTCCTACAAGACTGCCCCCAACTATCACTTCAGATGGCAGTCGCAAGCCCAGGTTGTTACCTGTGCTTCTGACTAACTGGCTATAGATTGGAGGTTCCAATGGCCCCCCTCCTTAGGTACAATTAATTTGCTAGAGCAGCTCACAGAACTCAGGGAAACATTTTATTTACTAGATTACCAGTTTATTATAAAAAGATATAACTCAGGAACAGCCAGATGGAAGAGGCACATAGGGTACGGCATGGGGAAAGGGCACAGAGCTTCCAAGCTTCCTAATCTCCACCTGTTCACCAACCCGGAAGCTCTCTGAACGCTGTCCTTGTAGGTTTCTATGGAGGCTTCATTCCATAGGCATGGTTAATTAAATCGTTGGCCATTGGGGATTGAACTCAATCTCAAGCCCCAATCTTCTCCCTGGGGGGAGTGAGGAGGAGGGCGGAGGAGTAGAGGACTGAAATTTCCCACCTGCTAATCACATCCCTCATCCTTAGGTGGACCAAAAGGCACCTCCTTAACATAACAAATAGCTCTCATCACTTCGGAAATGCCAAGGGATTTAAGAGCTCTGTATCAGAAATAGGGACAAAGACCAAATATATATTTGTTATTATAAATCACACTGTCACAACTATCTATCCATATATTTATTTATACTTTGCTTCAGCTCACAAAGATATTGGAGTAGTTAACAAAAACTTTCATGGTAAAATAGCAGAAAATAAAAATCATAGGGAAAATCTAGACAGACTATATGACTAAGATAAAGATAAAATTCAGGATCCTCAGGCACACATCACTACATTCTATTAAAATTAAACTACTAGTTTGCCTCTGAGCTTCCCAGTAGTCTAAGCAAAAAATGAAATCACGCTTATTTGATATTAATTGCCCGTAACAAAAAAGCAAACTAATTCCTCAGGGAGAACAACAAGGACATATCTTTCAGAGTTAAGTTATTGGTGTCAATTTTACAGGGGATGTTGGCTGATATATGGGTACCATGGCTACAAAAATATGATTGTTTTTTAAAAGTAGACCCCAGTGTAAACTGAGGCCGTAACTACAGAGAGGACCTCAGTGAAAGTAAGGCTCACAGAAGTTGGGGTTTGTAGGGAGTAGGGGAGGTTGTGTGGGAAACTTCAATAAGAGCTATTTCCTTTACATCTTCTTTTCCTACACGTCCATAATTAATGGTTCTCCATTACCACCCAGAGCTCTAAGTTACTATACAGAGAAGGAATCTGAAAGGGGGGAAATTAATATGAATACACCCATTTTGAGGATCAGGCATCTTACTGGAAAAGGCTTGAATGATTTATGTGTTTATTACAAAATTCTGTATTTTTGATGCAAACACATTCTCAGATAATTTATTCATTCTCACAGAATGTCATAGAAAAAACATATCAGGTGGTTCAGTAATGGTAGAATTTTATGGTGATATTTTTCATCAAGTTGAGCAGTTATAGATTTATGTTAATGTACATTTCATGTCATTTTTCTTGTGATCATATTCTGACATTATCTGGAAACTGTGGGATTTCAAGCACCTATCTTCCCTGAAGCTTGACTTTTTTTTTTCATTCCTAAAAATAAGTAAAAATTTTATTTGGGGGCAAAGTATGTACATAGTATAAGTTGTTTGCAATGAACCGTTAGTGTTAACCACAGATCCAGAAGAAACTATTTTCTTTTCAGATGAGGATACCTGTAATATTCAAATATAGTGTGGCTTAGCTTCTTAATGCTGAGAATAAAAGTGGCTAAGATGAATTTCTCTGTGCCTTAGATGTGAACCAGGCACAAACTCTGAACCATTTACCTTTGAGGGGACAAGCATACCATATACAAGAATGAAAAGAAGCAAAATAGAATTCTACATAATGCCATCCAAAGACCTTTCTGCTCGGCTGATAGATGAATTTAGATGCCAAAGAAATTGGAATCAGAGATGATTTTAGAGTTAATCTGGTTCAACTCCCTCATTTTATGCAAGGAGGCTTAGCATGAGAAGCGAGGTGGTGGAGGTCGCAGAGCTAGTGGAGAGCCTAGACCAGAACCCAGTGTTTGGTCAACTATGGCAATGTTTCCAGAGTTTTGCTGTATTTGCTAGTATCTAAAATTCATCCTGCAAACTCTCGCTCCTGTTCCTTGACATCCCCCTCATTGGAACTATGCAGTTTAGTGCCAAAGACACAAATTGAGGGATGATGCTGTCCCCTGGTGGCAGAACACAGCAACACAAAACACTGCAAAAACAACGGATTTCAGCATCCTATAGATCATATCCTTAACAAAAATAACATGCTTTATTTAGGCCACAGAGATGATCAGAAATGAATTTAAAATTATTCTCTTACCGTTTTAGATTTAAATTTGTTTCAGACACAACCCGTGGCTCAAAAGCAACAGAGGCATTGATACAATACTCAGATCAAATTTAATGTTATAAACTTTGTAAAATCACTCATTGAAGGGACTACAGGACAGTATTTTTTCTCACCACCACACAGAGAAAATAATAAGGCTCATAGAAAAGGAAAGACGTCTGATAACTGCTTGATGTAGCAAATATGTTTTCTGATAGAGAAATATAAAGTAGCCCCAAATAAAGGAATTAAAAGCAAGGGAGTTACAAGATTGTGTGACAGCTGCTGGGGTAGAAGGTGACTTTGTTTGAAATTACTTTGTGCCAGGGCACTGAGTCACATAAGACCTTAGATCATCAGGAGCCCCCAGTCTGGCCAGGTCGGTATTAAGTGTTATGGGAACTCAAAAATGTGCATACTTAATTCTGTCCCCGGGAAGAATTGTGTCTCCCAGGAAGGCTTC